TCGACGGAAACGTTATCGTGGAGATATTGGCGGATTCCGTTGTAATATACATATGTAATGTACATAATTTTAATTTTAATAGTTTATATATATATATATATATATATGTGTGTGTGTGTGTGTATATACATATGTACGTATGTACGTATGTATGTACGTATGTATGTATGTATATATGTATCGTATGTATGTATGTATGTATGTATGTATGTATGTATGTATGTATGTATGTATGTATGTATGTATGTATGTATGTATGTATGTATGTATGTATGTATGTATGTATGTATGTATATATAATATAGTATGTCAATATAAATTATCCATCAATTATAACGCTATATAAACTAGCCAAGAAAATGAAAACTGCTTTGATGGTGGCTGAAAAACCTTCTTTGGCAGCATCCCTCGCTAATATATTGAGCAATGGACGGTGTAGTACTAGAAAAGGTATGTTAACTATATAGATTAATTTCTTTTTCACAATCTCTTCTATGAATATTTTTAGGACTAAACGGATCCTGTTCCATCCATGAATGGATAGGTCAATTTAAATCCGAAACAGTAAATTTTAAAATGACCTCTGTATGTGGACATGTTATGACATTGGATTTTATTGGAAAGTACAACAACTGGGATAAAGTAGATCCGGTAAGATTATAAACACATGATACTTTTGCATATGTGATAACTGACTGAATTTATTTTTATATCTTAGGCAGAATTGTTTTCATGTTTAACTGAGAAAAAGGAAGCTGTACCAAAACTAAAAATACCATATTTTTTAGCCAAAGAAGGAATACATTGTGATTATTTAGTATTATGGCTAGATTGTGACAAGGAAGGTGAAAATATTTGTTTTGAAGTCATAAATGCAGTTCAACAAGGAATGCACAGGAAATTACATATAAATGCAAGTTGCTTACATTTTTAGACTCATAAATTATAAAGTTACCGAATCTTTTTTTATGCATATGAGATTACCACAATTATGGAATTTAAACATACCTCTATTAAATAGCTTTCTTTTTGATAGGATATATGGCGAGCACGATTTTCTGCTATTACAGAGAAAGATATAAAATTTGCTTTAGTTAATCTGGTAAAACCCAATGAAAATGAGGCCAAGAGCGTTGATGCACGTCAGGAATTAGATTTGCGAATAGGCTGTGCATTTACAAGATACCAAACTAAATTTTTCAAGTATGTTGTTATTATTTTAGTGCTAATATCTTTGCTAATTATAAAGTATTTCACAGTATAAATATTATTATACTTTTTTAGGGCAAATATGGAGATTTAGATGTCTCTCTTATTTCTTATGGTCCATGCCAAACACCAACATTAGGATTTTGTGTACAGAGACATGATGAGATTCAAACTTTCAAGCCAGATCCATACTGGGTACTACAAGTACGTAATTATAAACATATTGAAATACCTGTATCTATATCAAAACATTTTAATTTGAGACTTTCACATATTTTTTTCTTCTCTTTAGATCATCCATATAATGACGATAAATAATATTATTTTTTCAGGTAACTATCAAGTCTTCCGATGGTCAAGACATTGTGTTAAGTTGGAACCGTGTACGATCCTTTGATAAAGAAGTTGCTAATATGTTTTTAAGTCATATTAAAGAGCACAATCATGCAACGTGAGTTGTATCTTGTAGTATTTAAGAATTTAAAAAGTCGAAAAAATTAAAACATTCAAAGTAAATTCATGTATAGTGTAGTGAGTGTACAAAGCATGGAAAAATCCAAATCGCGACCAATAGCATTAAATACAGTAGAGTTGATGCGAATCGCAAGTTCAGGATTGGGAATGGGTCCGCAACATGCTATGCAAATTGCAGAAAGACTTTATACCCAAGGCTATATAAGTTACCCTCGAACGGAAACAACATCGTATCCTGAAAATTTTGATTTGCTGTAAGATTATAAATCATTATAGATCATAAATTAATTATATAACAAAATATTTAATCTATGTATATGCACGCGATATTTTTATGTTCATTATAAGATGTGAAAATTCCCAAAATGGATTAATCATTCACTGTACGGAGTCTTATACGCTTCAGCTAACTTGCGACTTATGTATCACAATCATTTTAATTTTTTATTCAAGTTCAACACTGAAACAACAGCAGAATAGTTCAGAATGGGGTGAGGAAGTTCGCAAGATAATAGCAACTGGTATTAATAGACCAAAAAAAGGCCATGACGCAGGTGATCATCCACCTATAACTCCTATGAAAAATGCAACTAGAAATGAACTCGATGGTGATTCATGGAGATTATATGATTACATAACACGACATTTTATTGCTACGGTTAGTATAATGTTAAGATATTTGTAAAACGTGGAGGCACAATTATGGTCTTGGTTAACATTATATATATTTTTTTTGTTTGTTTCAATATTGTAGCTGGCGCGGGATTGTAAATACTTGAGCACTACAGTAAAATTTGAAATAGGCACGGAAGTATTTACAACTACTGGCCACAGCCTGCTGAATCCTGGTTATACGAGTATTCTTACTTGGCAAGCACTTGGCAGTAATGATACCTTACCAAAATTTATGTCCGATGAGAAAGTAAACATACAAGAGGTGAAAGATATCTTTATAGTGTATATTTTAATCGAATATTTCTTGAGCCGCATCTTTGCAAAACAAAAATTTTATGCCGTGATAGAATGTCTTGTTTCATTATTACAGGCAAAATTAATCGAATGTTATACGCAACCACCGGATTATTTAACCGAGGCAGAATTAATATCTCTCATGGAAAAACACGGCATTGGAACAGATGCTTCGATTCCTGTACATATAAATAACATTTGTATTAGAAATTATGTTACTGTTGCAGCAGGCAGAAAATTAATACCCACTTCTCTCGGTATTGTTTTGGTTCATGGATATCAAAAGGTATTTTTGTTTCTCAATTTTATAATGCGACACAGATTTTTGTCTAAAAAACACTTGGATGTTTACACAACACGCATCGCGCGCGCGCATGTGTGTGTATTCTAATAATATACATATATATAAAAAATTAGAATAAACACACATACGCGTGCGCGCGTATGCGTGTTGTGTACATCCAAGTGTTTTATATATATATATATATATATATATATATATAAGAACATACACACGCGCGTTACTAAAT